TGTTTTCAAATATCCATTACTGCAAAAATGTCCATAGCTGCATATTGGTTATTTATTCTCCAGGTGCACAGTTTTTATATTGTCAAAATAGTTAACAGTACAGTATTTAATATATTTTAACTCTTCACTATTATGTTATTCTTATAATTTTTTTCTATAATCTACTATAATCTTTACTTCTGTAAACAACAGAATTTCCCCATTGTGGGACAATAAAGGGATTTTCTATTTTATTCTATTAAACTTTTATCCTTTTAGCCGGAACCGTCTGTGTTTACAGGCGGCTTCCCTGTCCAAGATGGCGACTGAAGTGACGTATCGTTTAGCTCAACAGCAGCCAATAACGGAAACACGACGTCTTTTGCCGTGTTACGTCATCTAAACGCGCCAATGACAGTGTTCATTGGCGCTCAAACAAACAGAACCGGGGAGGGACTCCATGGATTCGGTATTTAGATGTTTTCAGGAATTGGAAACCTGCAAAAAGTTCTGAGTTGTTTTTTTTGTCCCAGAAGAAGCTAAAGCAGGTAAACCAGTCAGTTCCGGTTCTGGTTCTATATGTATGCAGTGTAAACAGGTCCAGTTGGATCAAACGAACAGAACCGGAGTCAGAACCCACAGAATGATCTTTGTCGTGTTTTTGCTAACAGCTTCCAGAACATTCCAGAACATCTAAAAACATTTTCAGATCCAAACCTGGTTCCGGTGGTTCTGCTTAGTGACAGAAACAGAACCTCCATGTGTGACAGCGGCTGTTCTGGTTCCGGAGCTGTAGTTTAATCTGGGTTCTGGTTCTGTGCAGAGATGAGATGATCGGACCTTCTGGTTCTGGTCTTTTATCTGAACTGGTTCTGGTTCCTTCCAGCATGGAGTCTGATGTTCCTCTGAGGTTCTGCTCCATTCCTGTGAAATGAATGGGTCTGATGATCCACAGCTGGTTCTGATCCAGCAGAGGCAGCCAGACCCTGGTCCAGAACCAGAACTCAGTCCCTGAATGTCTTGGTGGTTTTGTTCTGCTTCAGGTGGATCAGCGATGTCAGCTGGATCAGATCCTCCCGGAATCAAACCATCCAGAAGGTCTCCTCGCCTGTTGCCACAGGTAACACACACACTCTAATCTTTCTATATGTAGTGAGGACCATGCATTGATTTTCCAGTCATTTTTAACAGTTTCCCTTCCCTAACCCAGATAACCATCATAACTACCCACAATAGAACTAACCATAACCAGAATATAATTAAACATAATCAGATTACAAACAACCAGAACATAATCAACCATAAACAGAACATAACTAGTCATATCCAGAACATAACTAAACATAATCACAGTATAATTAACCATAACCAGAACATAACCAACCTTAAATGGAGCAAAGCTAATCATATCCAGAAGATAGCTAACTTTTCCAAACGCTAACTGATTACAACACAACCAATCATAACAATAACATAACCAAACATTTCCAGGAGATAACCAGAACACAACCAACCAGAACCTAACTAACTATAACCATAACTATCCTGAAGCAGATAGTAACCAGCAGCAGGAAGCAGCAGATCTTCCAGGTTCTGGTTTTGTCTTTAATAAACTTTTCGTTGAAGAACTAAACTGTGATGCTTTGGTTCTGGTTCTGGTTCTGGTTCTGGTTCTGGTTTAGTTTTACTTAGTGATGGTGAGATGAAGCCTCATTGAACCGTTTGGCCAAATTGCTTCAACGATCCCCACAGTTCATGAGGCTTCATGTGAACATGTCACCACCTGCTGGTGGACAGCAGAACTACAGTTTGTAATAAAATCTATGAGTTTTTTTCCCCTTTTAGGTTCCTTTGAAATTGTTAATGGTTGTTGTTTATAATAAAACCTTTTGTAATTTTTTAAGTGTAAAATTTCTTAGAACAATCATTTAAGGTTCAGTTTTTCTGCCATTTTAGTGAAATAAACTCAATCAGTGAAAGTGTTTGCTCAAATTTGGCAATGATGAGCTAAATTAAAGGTGTTAATCGTTAATATTCAAACAAGACAGAGCTTCCACGTTTTTTTTTTTGTTTTTAATCAGGTTGGAAGTTGTGTTCAACCAATCTTTTGGCTAAACCGACCTAATTTATCCAATCTATATTTTTACTCAGGCAAAACAATGCAAATTAGTCCCATCAGCCAAAATAATTAAGTTTAATCGCAACTTTCAAAAGTCAAAGACAGGTATTGAACCGTCAACCTCTAGAGTGAGAGCCTGCCTCTTACAGATGACGCCGCCTATATAAATAACCGTATTAGGGAAGAAAATAGTAGTTAATAGTAACATGTTAACACTGAATTTTTCCGGTGGTTTGCTCAGATTTTGATCATAACAGTGTTTATTCTAACCAAACTAGTTTTAACCAACTAGATTGGTTGGAAAAACAACCAATCTATTCTTAGAATCTATCCCGCTGACAGCAGCTCTCCTCCAATCTCCCACATCTTGACTGAACACTGAGGCTGTTTAGATGCCTGTCAAAATTCCTGCGCCTCCCGAACCACTTTGCGAAGCGGTCACGTGGTTTCACGCTAGCGAGGCCTCATGAATTTCGGCCCCTCCCCTAAATGAATCACGCCTCGACATGCGTTTCGTGGAAACGCCCCCCTCCATTACTCGACACGCCTCGAAGCCTCGGCTCATCTCAACTCATCACTAGTTTTACTGTTTGTTCAGAAGTCAGACCGCTGGTTGTGGATCTGGTTAGAACAGGTTCTGTAGTCCTGGTTCTGGTGGACTTTGAGCAGGGTGTGTCTGTAGACATGTAAACGCCACACAGAGAGGTCACATGAGGTCGTCCTCACGGCGTGTTAAACAGGTGTGAGGTTAAAGTTTGACCCGGGGTCAGAGATTAATCTGAACGCAGAGAACCTCCCAGTTAATGATCCACCACAGCTAAGGAGCTGCAGCTGCTGCTCAGTCCGCTGCAGGTGAGGCTGGAGCTCAGCTGTGTTTACCTGCGACTCCTCAGGCCGACGCCGAGAAGCAGAGAGGAGGAAACAGCCTGCAGGAGGCCAAGAGGAGAGGAAGGATGGAGAGGAGCAGAGAGGAGGAGCTGAGCGGCAGGCTGAAGACGCTGGTGAGACTTCGTGGGGTTGATGTGAACGCCTGGTGGTGGGGGGGGTCTTCATGCTGGGAGCTGATCTCTGTGTGTGATTCCAGGATCTGTCCAGCAGGTCTGCAGCCAGCGGGACCGGTCTGGTTTACTCACAGATCTTCACGCATCATCAGAACCTGTGGGATCTAAGGTAGCTTCAGCTGCTGACGTTCTGCTCAGCTCCACTTCGTTTCAATCAGGGATTTATGGCTCTGATCATCCCAGCGATTGTCTGATTGGTTGTTATTTTCCAGCCATGTAGAGAGTCCCAGCAGAGTGACGTCCATCATGTCGGAGCTGCAGAGGCAGGAGCTGTTGGATGTCTGCGTCAGCGTGGAGGTCAGTCTGGATCTGAGGGACCGGAACATCTGCTGAACCAGAACCACTAACCTCACTGTCTTCTTGTTTCAGCCCAGAGAAGCTACAGAGGACGAGCTGCTGCTAGCTCACACGTGAGTCCTCCAATCAGAGCGCAGGTAGTTTGACTTCCTGTTTGCGTTTACATGATGCTGATGATCTTTGGGTGACGGCAGGAAACCCTACGTAGACGCCATGAAGGAGACTCAGAAGATGACCCAGGCTGAGCTGCAGAGTCTGTCTGAAAGATACGACTCAGTCTACCTCCATCCGGTAGGAACACACACATCCCCATCTTTCTATACCTAGTGAGGACCGTGTCTTTAGATTCATTCAGTTACAGTCATTTTTAACCCTTTGCGAAGCCCTGAACCTGAAAATATCCCCAAACCTGAACCTAAAATCATTTCACACTAAAACCTGCCTGCAAGAAGGAAGAGAGGACCAGAAAAAGGACCTCGCTCTGATACCAAAACACACAGAAACATGTTTTACCATCAAAGTGAGGCCATTAATATTTCTTCCTTCATGTCTGAGGTGGGAACGTCTGCAAGGTAACGGTCACCATCACAACCTCAGGTTTAGCTGTTTGTCACCATGGTAACCTTAATTGTCTCAGCTACTATGGTAACAATATTTCACCCCTCTCTGTCACCATGGTAACCATATTTCACCCCTCTCTGTCACCATGGTAACCATATTTTACCAGCACTGTCACCGTGGTAACCTTAATTGTCTCAGTTACTGTGGTGACCATATTTCACCCCTCTCTGTCACCATGGTAACATTATTTCACCCCTCTCTGTCACCATGGTAACATTATTTCACCCCTCTCTGTCACCATTGTAACCATATTTCACCCTTCCCTGTCACCATGGAAACCTTTTTTGCCAGCACTGTCACCATGGTAACCATATTTTGCCTATCCCTGTCACCATGGTAACCTTAATTGTCTCATTTACTGTGGTGACCATATTTCACCCCTCTCTGTCACCATGGGAACCATATTTCACCCTTCCCTGTCACCATGGAAACCTTTTTTGCCAGCACTGTCACCATGGTAACCATATTTTGCCTATCCCTGTCACCGTGGTAACCTTAATTGTCTCAGTTACTGTGGCGACCATATTTCACCCTTCCCTGTCACCGTGGTAACCATATGTTGCCTGTCTCTGTCACCATGGTAACTATCAGAAACATGGCTGCTGTTTGACCTGCAGACTGACGGAGCTCCTAAAGGATCAGAAGGTGTGTCTTTGTTTCAGGAGTCGTTCCAGGTGTGCGCGACAGCGGTTGGGTCGGTCCTGCAGCTGGTGGACCGGGTTCTGACCTCTGAACTCAGGAATGGATTCGCTGTCATCAGGTAAGGCTAGCAGCACCTGTTCCCGTCTCCCGACCCAGAACACAGACCTGACGTCTCTTCTTCTTCTCCTCCTGCTGCTGTCAGACCTCCAGGTCACCACGCTCAGGCAGACCAGCCCAACGGGTTCTGTGTGTTCAACAGCGTGGCGATCGCAGCCCGATACGCCCAGAGACGCCACTCTGTCAGCAGGTAGGCCTGCACTCACACTTAGCAGCAGCGCCTCCTGCTGGATGATTTGAGAATGTAATGGACTTTAGGAGAGAGTTTACCGACCCAAACAGAACCATACTGAACCTTTACAAAAACAAAACGGCTGAAGATGCGCATGCTCTTATTCTGAAACTCTTCAAGTGATGCTCTTATTCTCAAAACGTCTTCATGAGGTTTATCTGTGTTGTAATGTGTGGGATG